AAGTGCCCCCTCCCCCCTTCCCATGATGTTTAAATATGAAACAAGTAAATTTTCAGAGCATTTATTGTACATGAGCATCGATCTCAATGCAGGAAAAGTGGAACTTATGGTACAACAAAATCAGCATCACATTTGTGTGAAAATTTGCAACAATAGCCGGCATTTTTATGACTATTACGAATCATTTACTAAAAGTTCTTGGTCTGATAGTTAAGTATCCGCCTTTTTTCCCTCCTTTTTCACAAATGCCAATAATATTGAACCTTTAGATATTTAAAACTTGAAACTCTAGATTTTTCCTTACCAGCATAAACAGCCGGACAAATTGTCTGGCCATTTAAGGATTGGACCGGACAAAACCTATTTTTGACTGGACATTGTCTGTTGACTGGCCGTTATTTGAAGCCCTGCAGTATGAATATATGTAGTTCAATGTTCAAAGTAACCGAAATTTGATTTAAAGCTCTAATACTGATTGGAGAATATACATGAACATGTAATTATTATGACATACATTTATTTTACTCAGTTTAGTAAGCCACTCATTTCAAAGCTGAAGTTGAAGTAATAAAGCTGGAAATAAGTAGCTGCAAATTGATATGAGGGGGTTGAGGACTACATTTGCCCACAATGTTAGAGGCAGATGAGGGGTTAATACAGTGTCACACATTACGCTGACATTATTTTGAGCATAATAGTGAGGCCAAAGAATCAAGTATTATGGCAGAATAATAGCTGCAAAAACTGGTTGAGGGCCTTGGGCAGACCAAGAGAAATCTGGGCACCAGTCACTTGACTTAACACAATCACACGGCACATACCAACAGATTTTGCTAATTCAACCCTCTTCTGTTTTATCAGAGTATTTTTTTCATCTCTAGAAAACTCATTTCACAATAACAAAGCTAGGGTTATGGAGGATTACCTCGTGCTTCAGTGTAATAAGAGTTAACTGGGTAAATACTTAGAGGCAAGCTTTTTTATGTGAGCAAAATGAAGCATAATAGTGACACCTTTCAAGCATGATAGTGAGATTTTTTGAGCATCAAACATTAGCATAGTGAAAAATTGGAGCATAATGTTTTAAACCTTACGGGTAGCTGATGAAAATTGTAATATGTACATGTTATGTATGTATGTATGAAGTTTTTGTCATGGGAAGGTGTTGGGAGTTACTGTGGACAATGTCTACATATATATAAGGCATTTTTTTAATATGTTGTGTCAAGCCAACTTTAAAGAATATAAGCTGCAGTATACATTTTAAGGGGATTGTGTGGGGTGGGATCCACCTCCCATATCTTGTATGTTGATATTCCTAAAAACACTGAGAACTAATATGTACACGTAAGCAAAACTTAAAAAAACACATCAACATAGACGTATTTGCCAACCCTAACTGGTTGCAGAATGGCAGTTCAGTGAAGTTCATCTTATCTATTCTTTTAAAGGAATAAATTAAGCCATCAAGCCAATTATTTGCATTGTAAATACCTGTTCTCTTTACTGGTCAATATATATTTATTTCTTCATTCAATAAGTTGTGAGAATTCCTTTATTTTTACATCAAAAGGAAATCAGTGATCACTAACTAAATTTTCACTCACTTGATATTGAACACAGCCTAATCCTACAGTTTTCCCCTTTCCACCCACTCAGTTCTAGAAAATCTTCAATAATACTTTGGCGTTTAGTTGTTTTTTTCTTGCCAATTTAATTTCATTGAGATCCGTACAGTGAAACCTCTTGAATCAAGACAATATCACTTTGTGAATGATTTTCTTAATTTTTGTCATCTGTCTGCTTGAAGATATATTGCAGTTGTAATGAGAAATTATATATTAATTACTTCTGGGAATTGCTGGGTTACAGGAATCAGAGGAACAGAGCTCAGTGTTTGTTATAAATATGAGTGTGTGATACTGTTATGGTACAAGTTAAATGAATTCTATTTTTTCTGGGACAAAAATATAGAGATTTCTGCATCACATATGCATTCATAGAGAGAGGTTTGGTCGTAGCATGTTGCTGCAGCTGTTTCTAATATCTGTATAATTATCTTTTTCCCCTAGGTTGCTGAACATGTGCACATTGCTGAGTAGACAAACATTGAAAAGAGCAGAACAGAAAGGAAAAAAATACTGAAATGTGGTTTAAAGACTAAGATGAAAGTCTAAATACTTTCAGTAAAGTAACCAATGAAACACAAATGGACATGACTTATACTTGTAAAAAACACGACTTCAATTTATCGCCATGAATGACAATAAAAGTGTTGTTAAAAAAATGAAGTGGTGGTTTTTGGCAGGTATTTATAGAGTTGATTGAGAGGCATACCCAGGTCTCTGTTGTCAGGAGAAAACTGAGAGGATCTTGGTATTAGGAAAGGAGATACTCATCCTTAATATGTAAGGGTGGCTTTCATGTTAACGAAGTTGTATCTAGACATCCTGAACTTCCATGGTTAAGTTGTTTGGCCATGTCTATTTCTTTGAATTGAGTGATAACCGTAATTAGAAAGACTTACGACTGAAACAAAACCAAACAACAACAACAACAACAACAACAACAACAAAAAACAGGTTAAATGGCTCACATGTTTTTCACACGAAACACAGGGCTAATTGCTAAATTCTCAAAAGAGCATTATGGAACAAAAACCGTGGTAGGGTCATCTTGATATTCACATCGTGATAGTCACACTATTTTTACATGTCAGTTAAAGGCAATATTGGGCTATTGCATGTAATATCCCCCCCCCCCCCCCCCCCCCC